CCCCTGGACGGACGGCAGACCCCGGGTCGGGCCCCAGAGCGGTTGCAGCCGCCAGCAAAGTCGCCCTTGTTCCTTGATCTCCCGCAGACCCCAAAACCTTTCTCCCCTCCCCCCTTCCCCAGCGCAGGTCAGAGCTAAAGTACCACACGATTTAGGTACGTCCAGAAGGAAGACAAATGGGCCTGTGCTTCCAAGGCTTAGCCTCCTGACCCAAGACTAGACTTAGGAGCTTCTAGACCCCGCGGAGAAGCGCCATTAAACTGCCCTGGGTGAGCTGGAGCCCTTAGGAAACCGGCCACCCACCCTCTACCTCGGAGTCCTGGAGGCCTGAGGGGGTCAGGATTGCTGGCTCTGAGCTCTGGCCTGAGAGAAGTTGGTCAAAACATCAGGGCTGTGGCTGCCCCTGGACCGAGAATCCAGCAGAACCTGAGGCCCTGGAGCTGTGGTTTCGGATATAATTTCCTCCCACAGTTTGAGTTTAAAAGCTGATTGTTGAGTTTACAGCTTTTGCTTAAAATACGCTTTTATTCTTACATTTTTACTATCACAGACCTAACATCAACTACCCTTAAAGGTTTAAACACATCGAACCATTAACATTCTGATGGTTTAAGTAGGTTAAAAGAAACACAGCTACAGAGAACTGGTCGGAGTTAGACTGAATGAGAATGCGATTCCTCAATGGGTTCCCTGTTCTTTAGCTAACCAGGTGTCTACATTAACATAAACTTCCTTCCCCCACGCCATAGATGGAAAGGAAAGCAGCTGAAAAATAATCCATGCCGTGCAATTCTTTTCCTGAGACCTTTACCATTGCACAACTTCACACACACAATTGTTCCTCTAAATCAATTTAAAATGTGAAGATTTGATAAAACTGTCACATGCATATTGATACTATTCTCCCTACCCTTCAGTTTGCAATGTTTCACAATAAAAGTACAACACAAAAAAGTAGAAATCACTTGAAAAGATTTGGGTATTTTATATCGCCATGATTGACCTAGTTATATGAATACTATTCAAGCACACAGCAAGCATTTTTCCTTTTAGAATATGCCTCAGCACACCAATACAATCGCTGAATGTACAATTATTAGGATCAACTAAAATAATACAGAATGTTTAACAGTTTTTAAGTTGAGAATTCTTAAAAGACTTCAATTAAGCATTGTGTGTAAATAAATGTTAATTCCTTTTGGTTTCTACTCTGGAAACCCACTCAGCAGGCCTCTCTGTCCTTAGTGCCTCACAGACTCCTCAGTGCTGGAGTAGGGTCTGGCATTTGAAAAACTCCCTGGCATCTGAAATCTCTTAATATAGCAACCTATGTAACAGAGGGAAAAATTACCTTTACATATTTATTAAACGTAAACTTGGAGACTCGGATGCACCATCCGCATCAAAATTAAGTAATTTATTAGCTAATCAGCCTTTCTTTCGTTAACCAATTCTATAAAAGTATCTCTCTGAAGCAGTGAACCTATAGAGTTCAAATAAATGTAATTCAATTCCATGTTACGTGACGTATTTCTAATAGTTAATAAAATTTGTTATCTTCCAACAATTTGGCTGTTATGAGTTTAGTCTACTCAGTCTTTAGACTTCACAAATTTGCAAGATTGTTTTAATGGTGCAGTTACAGATAAGTTTTTATTTGCACATAAGGACAAAAAGGTGAAGTGAAATTTGGTCCCGGTGGAAACCTGTTAGGTTCCCTGAACATATGGCTCATTGGGCTGTTACTTCCTTTTTGAGATCATTTTCCAAGATTTTTTAATATATACATCAATTTGACACCAGTTATAAAGAAAATATATTGGCTTTGAAGATGCCTCCACCTGGGGCATATCTCTCAATAGCAGACCGTCTAGTCAGGTGGACCCCTGATTGTACAGGTTTCCAGTCTCCAAGAACAAGGCATAATCTGAAACCAGTCAGAACTGACAGTTGATTTACACTCTCTTAGAAATTAGGTGGCTCTTTGGATTCTTAGACTGCCACAGTGATTTGATTAATACAGTTTAGGGCTGATTGCTTAAATCTCTTTTCGGAAAGCTATGCATTTGAAATCCACAATATTACAATGATTTCTCTCAGTAGATACAAGTGATATAGGTCTTATTTCTTGAACGTGTGTGGTGCCAGCTTAAGACTTAAGGGGGAAATCACAGCACATTAAAAAAGATGTAAATGTTCAATTGGTTAAAAAAAAGGGGGGGGGGAGAAACCGTGATAAAACATGTGCCTATTTCCATTAAGCTTAATTTGCTATTCAAAACAAGTTTTTCCTAATAAGCTCTATTGTTTCTTTCTGTTTTGTAAAATTTAATATGTGTGAGACAAAAACCAGATTCAGAATGTGAATGAAGTCTGTTTAGCGAAAGCTTGTTGGAGCTTACCATTCAAGGAGGACCTCAAATTAAAAGACACATCACCTTATAACACGGATAGGACATCAGGAAGCAATTTTCTTAGGGCAGTTCTAGAAGCAGTTCCAACTAGATTAGTAACCTCCTCCAGCCTCAGAGATCCTCATGGATGAATTTGTAGACTTAACATACAAAAAAACACTAGAATATTCAAAAGTAGTATTTTACTAAATGACTTTAGCCTTTGTTCTAGTTCAGTCCTCTTCTTTCTGAGGCCTCAATCCCCAAATAGGACTGAAGTATAAGTGCTCAAACATGTACCTAAAGCATGGAGTCAAGCCTTACCATAATGCCCAAACACAATGTTCACTTTTTAATAGTCCAAATTCTAAACCAAAGGTCATTTGGGAAGGAAAAAAATGTAAGCCAGTATGAACTGGAAGCGAGCCTATGTATTCTCCAAACTATTAAACTGGAACTAAAACATTTTCTACCCCAAATATTTCATTGGGGTCAAGAGTTGGGCCTTTGTCCTGTCTGTACAGAGTTGTTTGTCTTTAGGTCACTTTTCCAGAGTATTTGCACCTGGTTCTTCAACCTTTTATGTTGAACTGGTCTCCCTCATTTGAATATCCCCTTGGAATCTGAAATTCCTGGACAACTTTGCTGTTTAGAGCTATATCAAGAATACTTTTTTAAAAATATCTTGCTTATCTCCTTTGGAAGCAGTGTAGAGAATATGAGTTATTGCTTATAAATTAATTCAAGGAATAACTGCCTTAGAAATAACAAAATCTTAAAGACTGAATAATACAACATTTTTGTGTGTGTACAAAACAAACAAAATAAAAACTGTCTAAAGGGAATGAATGAGTCCTGCACATCCGCTCAAATAAGTAGAACCCACCTCAAGCTCTTCAGCCTTTCAATCCACTATTTTTCTCCATAATAATCCCTCACCTCAAAAAAAGATACACTTTTTTCATTGGCTTTGTAGGAAGCTTTCATAGGAAGCTTAAATCATTATGTCAGAAGTCTTTTTTATACAAAGAAAGAGACTAACCATTATGTTAAACCAATGAGACAGTAGGGAGAGCCTGACTCTATCTGACCAGTGGGTGGGGCGCTCTTTTAGGAATTATCAATTTATCACCAGAACACAGGCCCAGAATATTTCCACTGGGAGTCAGAAGCACTTTAGCACACTGAGTGTAGAGCATTTCTCATGCCTGACCCAGTGAGGGAACAGCAAGTTTTGGAATATATTTTTGAAGTATGAGATCCAAACTAAAATAGGAGAGGAGGTAAAAAGTAAGCCAGTGTGTATTTTCCAAACTAATAAACCAGAACTAAAACATTTTCTACACCAGATATTTCATTCCGGTTAAGAGTTGGCCTGTACTTGTCTAGAGATAGCCTTGAGGCTCATGAGGAGGTCTCCAGGCTATATTATCTTTTCAACTGTTGATAAATCCACTCTGGAAACAGCTCTCATTAGATAAATAATTTCTCCTTTTTAAAGTTGTTAAATAGCACTAATCGCCAGTGAGAAAGGGGCATTATGCAATGACAAGCAATTGGCTTAGAAGGAAGGCAAGCTCACTGGGAATCCAAAGGATCAGTAAGGGTGATAAAGCTTCCTCGATAAAGCTTCTCTAACCCGGACTGAGGAAGAAAAGCAAGCAGCAGGCTTCCTCTATTAAGCAGCTTCCACACACACACACACACACACACACACACACACACACACACACTGCGACACTCCAATATGCAAAGGCCCACTGTTTTGTTTGTGTTTTTTTCTGAGGTTTTACCGTTGGCATTGTGGAAGTCTTTTCTTTCAGCATCTACAAGGCCTGGATAGATCTATTTGTAGATTAGAGCACTTGATGAATTTCAGAGCAGATTTTGCTCTACCCTTCTGCCTTTAAAGTTTTCAAGGCCCAAAACTTTTTCTTGTTTTGTTTTCAAAATAAATGCCAATGAGCAATGTGACCCTATAGTAAGAGTTTAGAAAAAAAATGTACACTCCTGACGTGGGAGTACCGTAGTAACTTCCACTCTGCTTCCAGGCCTGCGATGGGCCCTCCACGGCCTGGAAAGGAGCCAACCCAGGGAGGAACGCTGGCCCATTTTCCAGTCAACGACGACACCACTTCTCCCCAAATATAAGGACATTTCCAAGCATTTCAGTCATTTCTTTTTCTCCTCCACCCTACAAGGTGCTTGGAAAAGTGTGCGGTGGGGATGGCTCGTTTCCTTTCCAAGGCCAAGTCCCAATAAAAATGCCCCAACTATCCTCATTGATATGCATCACTGCTTAAGCCTGTCTCCGGGCATAGCTTCTTCAATAAAGTACTTATGAAGTTAAGCTACACAGATTTAGCAAATAAAAATACAGGATGCCCAGATAAATTTGACTTAGAAATAAACAACAAATAACTTTTACTGTAAGTCTGCCCTACGCAATATTTGGTGACCCTATTTTTTAACACACCATTGACTGTAAAGATGTGAAATCAAGTCTTAACAGCTTTTCCTTCTTTTTCTTTTTCTTTTCGTGGGTTTGGGGAGAGGAGGGGAGTGTGAGTAGGTGTAGAGCAGATATCCTTTTCTGTGCCTGGAATTTTCTTTCTTCCTTCCTCATTCCGCAGGCAGCCTCGGGGCCTCTTACATATCTCTCAGCATTGGCTGCACCAACTATTCCCCTCGCTTTGGATTATGCATTGTTTTGTGTTGCATTTAAATGTGTGTTTATATCATCTCCAAGGTAAGGTGAGCTTTGCAAACCGAGAATGCGTGTCGCATCCCTTCCTCCCTCCAAAGAGCGCCCTGCGTCCCTCCCAGGCTGCACCTCTGCCCCAGGTGTGCAGGGAAACTGAGGCTGGGCGCTGGGTCCCGGCGCAGGGCAGGGGAGGGGGAAACCAGGAGGGCTTTCGGGCCCTGCAGCCCTGCCCTGCGGACGGTTCGGGCCTGAGGCCTGGCCCGGAGGCCTCCTCCCGCGCCGCCTGTCCGGCCTCGTGCCTGGCTGTCCTGCGGGGCCCGCGAGGCCGGGGGAGCCTGCGCTGGCCCCGGGGCTCC